CTGAATTTAAATACATGTATTTAATATGTATTTTTTGAAGTTCACATTATGAATATTTTATTTAAAAGAGGTAAGTGTTTTTTTTAATAGAGAATATTAAAAAAAAAATTAATAGAGCTTAATGTAGCTTTTTTTAAGTTTGAAGCATTTTTTTAAACATTTAAGCGCCATTGAAAACTAGAAAAAGTGTAATGAAATCTTAATCAGTTAGATCCGTAAAGACGGTTGAGCACTAAGTGATAAATCTCAAAGGAAAGAAATACTTATAATAAATATGTTATAGTAACATTTAATGATCACGAATTAAATGTACAAAAAAGTTTTTTTTATTTATATAAGGATAGACGAAATCTAAACGTTTTAGTTAAAATTCTTAGTAAATAAATTTTATAATTATTTAAAAAATAAACTTCTTAAGTCAAACTAAAATTCAAGTAGCCAAGACATAAAAAATAATTCCAAATAATTCTGCACGAATTGTACATAAAAATATTTTATAACTTTAAGTTTTATCTTGAAAAAAATGTGTGCTCAGAAACATAAATGTGCAAAGCGAATTGCTTAGTTTAAATTAAGTACTTAATTACCACGATGACAAGCGTCAATCACCAAATTTTGATGGTTTCTAAGAGTTTAATTTGAAATACATAGGTTTTAAAACCGTTTCTTAATTTATTTTAAAAAAAAAAAATATTTAAAAAACATTTAAAAAATAAAAAATATTTTTAATAACGAATTTGATTTATTTTATAAAAAATTACAAAAAAACAATAATAATAATAATAATGTGAGGAAAGACATTCCAAGTAATGCTCCCCTTACGCATAACTCAAACAATCGGTCAAAAGTAACAAAGCCAACAGTCGGACAATTTAACACATCATTTCTTGAGTCTGCGTACAGTCTTATAACCCTGTGGGGTGAGTAGTTCGACATCTTCATATTCTTCTTTTGGTGCTGGAGGAATGTAAGTATTTTTGGGTGCTGGTGGTGGTGGTGGAGGTATATAGGTATTCTTTGGTGCTGGTGGTATGTATGTATTTTTTGGTGCTGGAGGATCATAATGGTAACCATCATCCTTTGGTGCAGGAGGTATGTAAGTTTTTGCTGGTGCTGGTGCTGGTTTGGGTGCTGGTGGTATGTATGTATTTTTAGGCTCTGGTATAGGTAAAGGTTTTGGTGGTGGTATGTAAGTATTTTTAGGTGCTGGTGGATCATAGTGATAACCTTCGTCTTTAGGTGCTGGTGGTATATAAGTTTTCACTGGTTCCGGTAGTGGTGCAGGTTTTGGTGCTGGGGGAATGTATGTGTTCTTTGGTTCTGGTGGTATGTAAGTTTTCTTAGGTTCTGTAGGTGGTATGTAAGTATTTTTTGGTGCTGGTGGATCATAGTGATATCCTTCGTCTTTAGGTGCTGGTGGTATATAAGTGTTTTTGGGTGCTGGTGGTTCATAATGATAGCCGTCGTCCTTAGGTGCAGGAGGAATATAAGTTTTTATTGGCTCTGGTGGTGGTGCTGGTTTTGGTGCCGGTGGAATGTAAGTATTTTTTGGTTCTGGAGGTATGTACGTTTTCTTTGGCTCTGGAGGTGGTATATAAGTATTTTTAGGTGCTGGTGGATCGTAATGATAGCCCGCATCTTTAGGTGCTGGTGGCTCGTAGTTATAACCCAAATGAGAAACATCTGCCAAAGCGAAGGTCAACAATGTAAGAACAATTACAATTGATTTCTAAATATAGAAGAAAAGATTTATATAGTTAACATGATTTGTATTTAAATTATTTAATTTATTGATTTCTTGTATTAACCATTTTATTATTTAAGTTTAAACTCCTTCTATTGTTATTCAATATCAGTACAAACTTAGAATGATGATCAATGTTGTAGAATTTTTCTTTTATACTATATTATTTAATCGTTCCATTTGTATAGCACGGAAGCATGAACATTTATTTCAGCTGCAGTCCGTGAACTCTCTTAATTTCAGTTAATAACCACAAAATAATTTTGTTAAACGATCTCTAAAACAAAATAAATTTATTGATAATATAAAAACTAATAATTGCCTGAACGCGTGAATATCTGAACATGTATAACACTTTATTCACATATATTACTATTATCTATATCTCTTTTATCAAACCACAAATCTTTGTACGTAGTCAACAAATCGCTTCATTAAATTAGTTGGGAATTGATTCACGCCAGCTGCGTCTGTCCACAGATACGCAGTTGGTGCTGCAGCGTGCATCCATTAAAATACCATAACAAACATTATGAAATAAGTTTTGATATATAACGAAAATCGAAATTATATATAATTAATCAGTCTATAGCTAATGGGATAAATTCATTATAATTGGCAACTATTTACATTAGTTTTATAATGAAATTATTAGTTTTCTATTTTTTTTTTGTTTTTTGCTGATATCGCTGTTTAATCCATTAACAACACCAAGACCGTTTAAAATCCAATGTGTTAACATACGAAATGATTTAAGATAAATTTAAAAAAAAAATTGTTAATTAAATTAGTGTTTATTTTTTGCGTACATCGTTTTGATTTTGTTGAAAAATTAGTTTCATTTGCATATTTCGTTGTTATATTCAAAATCTGGTCTCATTATTTTTTATAAAGATATTTAAAAATTTTATAAAATTTTATAATACGAATTTTTGAAATAAGTTTTATTTTCATTTTAGAATTCATTATTTTTATTGCAGCAATAAACAAATTAATACCCACAATTTTCACATAATTATTTGCAAATATAACACAATAACCTAAAGAAATAGATATTGTACGGTAAATTGTAGAGTATTTATGAAATTAAGTAGCAAAATGCACACACACACACACACTACTTATTTAATTAGTTTAATAGTATTTCAGATTAAGATAAAATAATTTTCATGTATACAGTACGAGTACCCTATTGTTAATATGACAACTACAGAAGTCCCAAATTACAACTATGACTATACCGCCTAGAAATCACTTAATGCTATATTTATAAGCTTGAACTATCAAACATCGTCTCTAATTGTGTAACTTTCCTCTGAAAGTTTGTGCACAACCCATAAGCCAATGCCATTCATATAAAATATACTATGTATATGTCGAAACCGACAAACTTCATATAGCACATCTTAAAATTCCCAAATATCTCAAGTATTACAAATTCAGTTACTCCAGTTAAAGTGATAATTGCTTTAGTATTTCTAAAAAAAGAAAAGATGAATAATATCACAAAGTGGCGTGCCGAGGGGGATTTAATTCGAATCAATTTCATCTACAGATAATGCACTAGTCGGCGACTGCACTCTATTTAAATTAAATATTTGTGATCGATTTATTAATTTGAACAAAAAACACACTAGTCAGCTACTTCAACTAAGGCAGAACCTGCTCACAGCACCACGGTATCTATGCTGACGGACCGCTGCGAAATAGGAAGACATGATATAAGACTGGGTCTACCCCATTATGATTTTTGTCGCATGAAAGTGCTCTTTTTTTAGCAAGGGAAGATTAAAAATCTTAGGGTCCCTTTTCTTAGAGAGCTGACCAATCCTGTAATATTTGGGATTTAGCCAAATTCATAGAACAGTCAGGCTGCTTTTTTTGTAGCTAATGGGAAAGTCGTTACCTTTTTCGACGTTGGTTGTATACTGATTTTTCAATCTATGACGTACGAACGCTATTCCTATAGAACAACAATTGTTCATTATTTGAGCACAAGTGGGCTATTAGATACAAGACTGGCATTCCAACCCACCTACCTACCATTGATTTATTGAGTTTATATGTGGCCCTAAAGGTACTCGTTACCGTAGACGCTTAAATTCTTGGTTCTACAGAAAAAACCCGAAAAAGAATATGAAGTCAGAGTTTGAAGAAATAGTCAAACAATGTAAAAGTATTAGAAACTCCATAATAAACTTTCCTCATTAAGTACTAAAACAACTATTTAACTAGTTGACTATTTCAGTAATTGGGTCTGTTTAAGCATAATAAATAAACTTTATAAATAAATATAAATACATTTTAAGAATAAACATATAAATGATAGGTCCCAATAGCAGACTGTTAAAGTGAACATATTCTTATGCCACATTTTTGAACACGGTACCTACGAAACAATCATTGTATCGGTTTAACAGACGATGTGCTTTATGCTTAGTTATATCAGTACGACAAATGTACTGAACGCATAGCAATAGGAGATGAATATTTATAGATGATAACAAAACAAAGCTGTTGCTCTAATCTTTTGTAATCGTAGGTGCGTATTGTTATATTGATCTGTTATATTAGTACGGTAAGAGTATTCGACATATAGCAGTGGGGGTGAGCAAAACAAAATTGTTACTTTGTTCTTTTATTAGATTTATAGGAAACCATGTGTCCTAAGCGTGAGTTTCTGCGTGACACGCTAAGATCAAGTGAAGTTTGAAATTCTATGAATTTTTTATTCATATGAAATCCGACCAATTTTAAAAATTAGTTCTGAAAAATTCAAGCAAGCAAAAGTATAAAGAATTTGAAAATAATTAAGTTATTGAAAAAAAGTAAATGATCGCTTAAAATCATTGATCTATATGAGCAAGCCAACATCAATTTAAATCTTGATAGCCTACCGATTATTTGTGAATTACAGTCTTAAAAAATTAATCAGGAATGAAAAATGAAACCCCTAGGATGCAGATTCTCGAATGTTCTCGTAGTAGAAATATGCCTAAAATCAATTTTAAGGAATAATTTCACATATCTTAAAATTCACACATCTTTTATTTTTAATGAAGAGGAATCTGACAGACTGTCAACAAAGTACACCGCTACAAATCATTTCTTTTTAATGGCAAAGTCTGAATCGTCATAAATAAAATGTGTGATTGTTGCTTCTCCATATACCTAAATTTTCGCAACTACTTCTTAATCGTTGAGACTTAAGCCTGTACAGAGTAACTTCATTCGAAAACCAAAGAGATCAATTCGTAATTGCAATTGACGAAAATTTAACTAACCCTATCACACAACCAATTCTTCAGCTTTCAGTGAAAATTGAAATATCATATTAAGCTTAAAAGTTTGTGCTTTCCACTCATTTCTTATTGAAAATATTTCAGCGGAGTATCTTCCCAAATTCAAAATGGTTTTAGTTATCACATAGAATAGAAGATATACCTATTTTATAGCAATATGTCTATAGAAGATGTTCTGATTTTCGGAAGTCTCACATATCAGTACGTCCTTTACAGTATTATAAGGATTTCATTATTAATTATTAGTTATAGTTCAAATCTAAATGTTCAATAATATTTAATTTCCCTTACACTACAGTAATAATAGCTTTTATAAATAGTTATAAAAAGCACATATTTATAATATTGAAATAAAGATAGTTGTTGTTTGTTAGTTTTCACGATAAAATCATATCGTAAAACTAATCATTTGAATATGCAAAAATATTAAAACTTGCATTTATGAAATTTTATGACATTTGAATAAGTTGCGACTGGAAAGAATGCGGTTCACTAATAAAAGACGACAAGATTTTGAAGATAAAAAATAAAATCATGCAAAAACTAAACTAAAAATAAAATTTAACTTCCTCTGACTGAGCAATTATTTAATTAATTTGTTAAAATAATTTAATTTTTTATTAATGTTTTTATTATTCGTTATTTATTGAGTTTTTTAAAATATGAAAATTCATAGAGTAAATACTTTGTACTAGTGTTTTGTATTCGAAACGAGTTTAGTGTCGGCGATGCTTTTTCAAACGTCGGGAAGTTCTATAATGATAACCATCACCCTTAAGTTCTCCAGTAGCAGAACTGTCAGCAATATTAAAACTATTTGTTGATGCAGCTGTGTTATGATGCACTGGTGGTAAATATTCAGATTGTGGTAAACTTATAGGTGCATTATGATGTTGAACTGGAGCAGAAGGTGCGGGTGCATGATATACGGATGGTGCTGGTGCATGATGTACAGCTGGTGCTGGTGCATGATGTACAGCTGGTGCTGGAGCATAATGTACAGCTGGGGCTGGTGCATGATGTACAGCTGGTGCTGGTGCATGGTGTACAGCTGGTGCTGGTGCATGATGTACTACTGGAGCTGGGGCATGATGTACTACTGGAGCTGGAGCATGATGTACTACTGGAGCTGGAGCATGATGTACTACTGGAGCTGGAGCTGAAGCTGATGGTGGCAAATATTCAACACTGGGTGTGCGAACTTGACTTACAGAGCTGTGTTGGACGGATGCCGCTCCAAAATGAGAAGTTGAAGCAGAGAAATGATGAGAGACAGATGCTGGGGCGTGATGTACAGCAGGTGCTGGTGCGTGATGTACAGCTGGGGCTGGAGCGTGATGTACAGCAGGGGCTGGGGCGTGATATACTGAAGGTGCTGGGGCATGATGTACAGCAGGAGCTGGGACGTGATGTACAGCAGGAGCTGGGGCGTGATGTACAGCAGGGGCTGGTGCGTGATGTACAGCAGGGGCTGGGGCGTGATATACTGAAGGTGCTGGTGCAGAAGCTGCCACAGATGGTGGCAAATATTCATTCGATGGTGCCTGCACACTAACACTATGTCTTACTGTTTCTGCATGTGGTGGCAAGTAAGTTTTGGATATGCCACCAGCTGACACCGCTGCACAAAAACAAACTACAGCTATTGCGTATTTCTATAAAATACATAAATCATTTATTTTTAATTCAATTTAATAAATAATCTACACTTACCATTCTGCTACTTTTTGTATCCTAAAGTGAGTAAAGAATGATTCTTTAAACGTCCAGTACTCGCTTTTATACAATCGAAAATCTTACTTGGGAAGAATTTCGCAAATAAAAAATAACATAAAAAGAAATATCAACATTACTAGAATATTCATAGATACTTTTTTGTTGTTAAAATTTAGTTACCTCAGCTTTATGATCCCAGATTTTTTGTTCGTAGTATAGAATATACGTGAATGTCTTTTTTTTGTTTCTGATGTGTTAAAAATATATTTTAATTTCGATCTGTTATTTGTAGAAAAAATTTACTTAGTTTTTGATTACGTGAACTTTTTCGAAAACTTTACTGAAGTACTTCGCGACGCGGATTTGGTATTTCATTGTTGCCAAAAAATTATTGAATTAATTATTTGCCGAGTTTAATTAATGGCATTTTTAATGTTGTAGTAAATTTTGTACATTAGCTAATCAAACTGGTTAAGTGTATAAATTTACCAGTTGCAGCGCTTATTTACATTAACGCCATGATTAACTCACTTCTGCCAACATAAACAGTTGCGAATTTCCATACAATTAAAATTTATAATTTATTTTTTCTCATTTTTTTCTTTTTTATTAGTCAAGTAATAGGATATTTGTTTTTTAAAAGTTGTTAAAAAAGAAAATATATTTAAAAGAATAAATAGAAGTTTTGTTCTGGCATATTAATTTAGCCAAGATTAATAGCCGTAAAAATTGAATTATTCTAAAAACGAATACGTGAAGAACATTATACGCTACTTTCGGTTTTTAGAATCAGAGTAGGTGAAAAGAATCAGAGATATTTGGTGGAAAAATAGTAAGCCTATAACTCAACAACGTTCACTCAACTAGGAGTAATCTATCCTTGGCTCTGGCAGATTTACAAATTTTTGAAACGTTATTTTATTTTTTTTTATTTTAGTTAATATAATCGTGTTGAAGAACTATTATTATTATTGCAAAGTCTTAACTATTTCCATATTAACCTCTATTAAATTTTTTGTATAAAAAAATATACCAATAATTTTTGTGTATAAGTTCCAAACCAATTTACTACAATACGACAAAATTTAAAACAATTATTCCAGAAGTCAAGTTTCTACAAGAAAAATAATTTAATAACGAATAATTCCCATTAAATTTTGTCAGATTCCAATGAATCAACTTTATTGTAGTTCGTCCTGTAAAGTCGTAATTCTGCTTCAATTCATGTCTTTCATATCTCTTGAGAGTACTTGTACCCTTTGATGCCTTGGCAGTTGTAATCAAAGTTTCATTAGTGATTTCTTCCTAAAAAGAGTGTGGGTAATCTATTTATATATCTGGGTAATTATTTTCTCAATAATTGATGTTTGTAATTGATGTTTCTGAATAATAATTTAGTGTTTGATATTATGTTTAGTTCCAATGATCGTAAGATATGACTAAGAGCACGGATGTCGCTCCAAAATGAGAAGTTGAAGCAGAGAAATGATGAGCGACAGATGCTGGTGCGTGATGAACAGTTGGTGCTGGGGTGTGATGTACCACAGGGGCTGGTGCGTGATGAATAATATTTCAGTGTTTAATATTATGTTTAGTTCCAATGATCGTAAGATATGGCTAAGTCCTCGCTTGTCACAGCCTTGGAAATATGGGGTGCTGCTAATGGCCAGTTCTCACTTTCATACAAAATTTTAGCTTAACATCAGTTAAAACTAAGTTTATTTTGGTATGGCGTTACATGTTCAGCTTGCCTAACTTTTGTAAGCTTGTCATTGCATTATAGCTACTCAGATAATATGGATTTCATCATCGTTTGAGTTTCACAGTTCGAAATTTGTTTACTTTAGTCGGAATGATCATAACGTTATATCAAAGTTCCAAAATTTGTAATTACTTTTTCGACTTTCAAATTAGCGATATACTTTTAAAAGGTCAGTTATAAGATACCAAACAAGTAGAAATCGTCAGAAAAGTAAGTCGAAGTGGTCTAATATGGTATGGTTGGCCGATTGATTCCTATCATAGTTTTTTGTTCTCATTTTGTTTATCATTTTGTTTTTTTGCGGAGGGGGGTTGTTACAAAAGAAATGGGTTCCATAATTAAGGCGAATTCGGCAAAAGAGAAGGGAAGAGAAACGTCTTTTCAGGCGAAAAAAGAAGGAAACAGAAAGACGTGAGTACGAAGAGCTTGAGAAGCTAGACGACAAAAATATGGCTCGAAAATTCGATCAAAAACTTAAAAGCCTGACAAATGGTTATAAACCCGGAGCTAATTCCTGCAAAGATGAAAACGGTGATCTGGTGATAGATGTCCAAAGCCTGCTTAATATTTGGAGGGATCACTTCCCGAAACTATTAAATGGCGGTAGTAGCAATGTGACTGAAAGCGAAGATGATCCCGAATTTTCAATCGTTGACGATGAAATAATCGTTCCGCCTCCCGATCATAATGAAGTTAAAACAGTTATAACGCGGCTCAAAAACAACAAAGCTGTAGGCGCCGATGGTTTACCGGCTGAGCTGTTTAAAGCTGTTGGCGAAGAGCTATCAAAATGCATGCTACAGCTAATTCGCAACATTTGGTCGGATGAATGCATGCCCAACGATTGGAATTTAAGTGTGCTTTGCTCAATCCACAAAAAAGGTGATCCTGCAAACTGCGCCAACTACCGCGGGATCAGTCTTTTAAATATCGCATATAAGGTTCTATCAAACGTACTATGTGAAAGATTGAAGCCAATCGTCAACCAACTGATTGCACCTTATCAGTGTGGCTTCAGACCTGGCAAATCCACTCTAGACCAAATACTCACAGTGCGTCAAATCCTGGAGAAGACTCAAGAAAAACAAATCGAAACACACCACCTATTTGTCGACTTCAAAGCTGCTTTTGACACTACGACTAGAAGCACACTCTATGCCGCTATGTCTGAATTTGGTATCCCAGCAAAACTTATACGGCTATGTAAAATGACGTTGAGCAACACCACCAGCTCCGTTAGAATTGGAAAGAACATCTCTGAGCCGTTTGATACCAAACGAGGTTTCAGACAGGGTGACTCCTTGTCGTGTGACTACTTTAACCTAATGTTGGAAACGATAATTCGAGCAGCAGATTTAAACCGTACTGGCACAATATTCTAAAAAAGTGTAATGCTGCTTGCGTATTCCGACGATATTGATATCATTGGTCTGAACACCCGCGTCGTCAGTGCGGCATTTTCCAACTTAGAAAAACAAGCAAAACAAATGGGTCTTGTGGTAAATTAGGACAAAATAAAGTACTTTCTGTCAACAAACAAATCTCCTGAGCGTCTTGGGACCTACGTCACTGTTGACAATTATAAGTTCGAAGTTGTGAAAGACTTCGTTTATTTAGGAACCAGCTTAAACACCAAAAATGACGTCAGGCTAGAGATTCAACGAAGAATTACTCTTGCCAACAAATATTACTTCGGGCTAAGTAAGCAATTGAGAAATAAAGCCCTCTCTCGACAAACAAAAATCAGGCTCTACAAATACCTTATCATGCCTGTCGTGCTGTATGGTGCAGAAGCTTGGACAATTACCAACAGTGATGAGAAGGCGTTAGGAGCATTCGAGAGAAAAATTCTTCGGAAGATCTATGGTTCCTTACGCGTTGGCGACGAGTATCGATTAAAATGGAACGATGAGCTGTATGAGCTATACCGCGATATTAACATAGTTAAGCGCATAAAAATTCAGCGGCTACGCTGGCTTAGTCATGTTGTGCGAATGGAAGAAAGTGCTCCGACTAGAAAGGTATTTGATTCGGTACCCGCAGGTGGAAAACGCGGTAGAGGACGTCCGCATCTTGGGTGGAAGGACCAGGTGACCAACGATTTGGGGGCGCTCGGTACTACCAACTGGCGTCAGAAAGCAACTAATCGGGCTGACTGGCGGAGGCTACTCGACGCGGCCAAGGACGACACACGTCTGTAATAGCCAACTAAGTAAGTAAGTA